CGGTTTTCAGCACAGCTCTGGTGTCTGCACTCACACAAGCACAAGTATGGATGCACACGCAGACACCACACACTTAAGAAATACAACCTCACAAGCAAGCACATCTTCTCTAGCACGAGCAGGTGGCCTTTCTATACCCACCAAACCCTCTCGCCCTGCCCACTCCCTGAGCCTGCAGGTGCTTTGGGGATTGTCGGCACAGCTACCCCTGCAGAGTCACAGCCCCACACCCAGCTCTTCTGGTGCAGCTGAGCAGAGATTTGCTGTTTGAAATAGCAAGTGCTTGGAGATGCAGGCTGTCTCCTGGCGGTAGGGCCCACCCAGCCCTTCCATCTGCAATATATGCAGAGACAACGGCTTTTAGTCACACGTCGTCTGGCAGATGCTCCACGGTCCAGCCAGGCTGCTCTGCTGTTGGATTCCCAGCACAAGGGTGGCACTGTGTGTCTCCAGAAGAGGGAGTTTGGGCTTCATCCTGCTCTCCAAGCACTTGCACAGCTTTAAACATCATGGAAAAATTCAAGCGCTGCTTGCTTTTCTTACTCATCAGAGCGGCCACTCCTTCTTTCCCTGAACCCTTCACACTTTCAAAGCAATGGCCACGCTTGTGATTTGTGTCAGTAGTCAAAGCGAAAATGGAAGGGGGTTTTTTTTAAGCAGCACCCAGGCCTGAGCACTTTATTTACACTTACCTGGCCACCAAGGGAGACGAGACTGGGATGAAGGCTAGGGGAAACCAAGCAAAAGGTCAGTAGAAGTATGAGACCACACAGCTCAAAGTGCTCCTGACAGGACTAGGTGGTGGTGTGCATCTGCGTTCATGCTGCCTGGATCTGGGCAGGGGTGTGTTTGAACTCCTCCGAAATTCAAAGCTGGTCCTGGAGTTCCACAAACACATAATAATCATAACAGAGCACCATATGCTTTTTTGGATGCTATATAATGCCTGGTGAAGATATCGGAAGCGCCTCAGCAATGCAAGTGGGTATAAAGTTGTGAAGAATTGGTACAAGGTACCAGCCTGGACCACTGGGCACAAAGAGAGTGGTCAGTGGCTCAAAGTCTACCTGGAGACTGGCTCAAACCTCTGCTCCTCAGCCATGGTGCTGAGTACAGAAACCAGGGCAGCCTCAGAGCCCACGTGGTGCACAGAGGCAGAAGGCAGATTCAAGCCACACGGACCTGGTCGTGATGCCCACAGGAGAACTCCCAGCCCCAGGGCTGGAGAAAGCCATCATATGTGACTCATGGAAGGAATGTTGGAATTGTCCAAGGGCTCAAAGGAGCAGCAACAGTGGCACTGGGCAGGGGTGGGTCCTGTCTGAGACACCAGCGGCATCTGGGAGGTGGGTCGGCAGTTTTCTGTACCGCACTCAGCAGTGCTGCAATGACAGCAGAGGTCCTCAGCGAAGGCAGTGATGTCCAAACAGGCAAGGAACAGAGTCCACTGGAGGAAAAAACCAAGCATGAGCTCAACAAGGGGCAACTGGGAAGAAACTGGCCACAAATACAGTCCCTTCTGCATGCGACACAGTCACAGGGGACGAAGAGACAAGCGGGATCCTCTCCCTCCTGCAGAGCACGGGAATACCCAGTGCAGGGATGCGCAGGTGGACTCGCATCCAGCCACCGGCTTCTTTCAGCTCCTTCAGCTGTGACAGCTTCCTCGAGAACAAATCTCAGGACGCAAAGGCAGGCTGCAGTGCAGAAGGAACAGAAACCCAGGGCAGCTCCGATTTGTGGGAACAGGAGCTAGAAGGCGAGGAGCTGGGTCCTCCAGCGGCTGCCCAGCAGGGAAGGACTGTCCCTGCTGCGCGGTCGGATTTTGTCTTCTGCCTGGAGATCACCAAAGCAGGGATCTTGGATTCTGGCTGAAGAGTGGGGATAGCAGGTGGTCCAAAATATCCCAAGTATAGCGCTGGCAAAAGGAACCTCCCAGAAGAAGCTTCAAGCGGTGGAAACACTGAATCTATGCAGACTGACAGACTTCAACCACCACTAAACTTTCACTCTGTGTATCTCGATGCGGCTGGACTTTCTTCAGCTCTGTTATCTGCCTTCCCTTCTCTTGACAAAATCCTCACCCTCCATGTGAAGAGACAATGCGAGAGCCAACGAGCCAACGCCGGGTGCCTCCACCCTTGCCTAAGTACTTCTGGTCCTGAGCTGTGGCATGACCAGCAGTCCCTGCTGTTACGCTCTGGCTCTCCTCCTCTCTGAACTGGGCACTCCCGGGGTGGTCCCATCAAGCCGGTTTGAGCACTGCAGGCACTCACGGCTGGCCCCTCTCCCCCGACACTGTCTTCTTTCCCAGGGAGGCTGCTGGGGTCCAGTTCTGCCCGCCTGCCGGGACAGTCTCTGAGCCCTCCATGGCTTCCAGGCAGGGGAGACAGTTGTCCCAGTACCAGGAGGCTTGGTAGCAGGAATTACCCAGGACTTAGTACTCTTAGATCATCTGGACTTTGCAGACTTTGATGGCTCCTGCAAAAATAAAGAAGCCTGCAAGGCCGCGAGTGTCAGCTGCCCTCTCCCCAGAGCTTGGGCACGGCCACCTGCCCTCCTCGCAGGGACAAGGTGTCCTGAGCCACCAGAACCTGGCTGTGCAGCAAACAGGGCTCACCTGAGAGGAACCCCGTTAGCACAGAGGGCTTTGCAGTCTTCCAGAGGAATGAAATATATCCAGGTCTCCCTACGCTTTCTTTTTTAAATTCCGCACAAGCAGTTTCAAAGGCTGCTTTTCTCCTGCGCAGCTGCCTCCGCCTCGAGGAAGGGCCCGGAAGCCAGGTATTTCAACAGCTTTTAATGAATCTTCCCATTCATGTCTGACCTTACAAAATGAAAATAACAAGGTCACAGTCGCATCCTAGTTTTATTACAACTGACCTGCAGGCAAAAGGATAGAACTATTACATAAACACTCTGATCCATGTATAATATCTTAAATAGAGGAGGAAGTCAAACCAGGATACCGGATAAAATATTCTGAAGCTCTTTGAAGCAGTTATGTTCCTGAGCTCCATTTTACAACAATAAGGCAACATCCCTGCACATCAGCTTTTTGATAATTTTTATACATTTTTCTATGGTACAAGAAAAAAAAAAATAACCAGAGTTCACAATGTACAGTTCTTACACTATTTTCACAGCTTCTGAACACTATACACTTTTTTCTTTTTTAATAGATTGTAATAAATGGTGCACCCTTAATAGTTCATAATCATCTATGTTTAATATGCTAAACCTGTCCTTCTGTACAGCCACCTATGCCACAGCACCTCAACCCTGACTTTGCCTCTGGCAGCTCAAAGCTTTGCGTTTCCGTTTCCCACCCGTGAAAAGCAAACGGGTCGCGCTGCTGAAGACGAGCTCCGGACGGGGTCGGCAGCGGAGATCAGACCCCAGCCGTGCCAAAAGTGCAGAGCAAGGCAGTGGCTCACGTGGGAGGGAAACTGATTTTTGGGAGGATCCATCCCAGCGTTAGCCCTCTGAAAGGTTTTTGGGCTCCCTGTCACTGGGGAGATGCGAATCAGACTTGAACGTCTGAAAGGTGGGGGCAGAGCACCTCTGCACGCGTCTGTCTACCTTTACTGGATCTGTGTCTCTTTGCCCCCCCCAGCCAGCAGCCCACGAGACCCGGAGTGCCCGAGGTCCCCTTACGGGTGGCTGAAGGCTGGAGAGACGAATCACAGCTGCGGGGATTTGCCAAGCCTGAGAAAAGCTGAGTTTTCTGAGGCTACGGGGCTGGGGGGAGAACTACCCCTTCAGACACGCTGCGGATCTTGCTCAGCTGATCCTTCACGTGGTGAATCAGAGCTGTTGGTAATGACCAGCTACTTCAGAAAGCTTTTGGGAAGGCTTCAGTGACCACCTCGCTGGACAAGCAGCCCTGGAGGAGCACAGTCCAGGAAGGGCAGGAGAACTGCACCTCCTTGCACGGCCGGGCATGCTGCGCCCAGGGGATCACATCGGCGTCCGCCTCGGTGCCAGCGGGACCAGCTCCGACAGCCGCGTGGGCGACGCGCGGTGCTGCAAGCCTTACAAACGGGTGTCACTCTGCGGCCGGAGAAACACCAGGCAGGTGTCCGCACGAGCATGGCCTCAGCTCTCCTTTCCCAACCGAGCAGCCGGGGCAGGGGTGTGCTGGTCTCCAGTGCTCCCGCGTCAGCCCAGTTTGCGCTCGGCAGCATTGGTTTGAGGTGGGAAGCCCCTTCCTTGGGATTCCTGCCAGCGCCGCTGTTCTCACTCCCATCGCATCTCTAGCCCTCCGCATCCTGGGTCCGGCTTTGCCGCAGAGCTTTGACAGTCGGTTCCTCTAACATTGATGAAGTCCTGCCAAGCACCTAAATTAGACAACTCAAGATGGAATAAGAGCGCCTGCAGCCTCCATTTTATCCCTAGTATGCTACTAAATGCCTGAAAACTGCAATGTTTTGAAAAAAGAAGTATTTTCAGGAAAAACTAATGGTTGAAAAATATGCCAATTTAAAAAAACCTGAGTGACGCGCATTTTTGCTCAGCAATTGGCCAGAAGATGACAGCTTGCCTGGGTCAGCTGAAAGCCCACAAGGCATTAGACGCTCCTTATCTCCACCTCATCTCTGTCTGCACCAGTCTCAGTGTGGTTCACTCCAGGGTGCAGCAACAAGGGCTACGGAGGATCACAGAAGAGGTTAAACGCGCCCAAGAGGTGGTGAAGAAGGTCTCCAGCAAGCCCAGCCGAGCCCAGCGTGACATGCACAGCAGCGGGGTGGGTGCAGAGCCCCGGTGAGGTGGGGGGACATCCCCGACGTCCCGCCTGTGCAGGCCAGGACAAAGCACTGAGGTTTGGTCTGGTGAGGGATGGGGACAGCAAAGAACATGAGAAAGACTGGCTAGAAATCGCAGACATTCGTTTGTGGCTCATTAAAACAGCTGCAGACATTATGAACGGCACTTGTCGAAGTGAAAGCAAAGCCAGCTGGTGGTGAGCCTGTGCAGCTATAAATCAGGTCACAAGCAGGTTAAATTCAATCGAGTAGTTTAATAATTCTTCAGGTCAAAGGTCTTATCTTACCAGGTAACAATTTACAGGACACCTAGTTAAGAGTGAAGAGTGGCTGGCTTGGTAGAAGGAGAAAGAATACATTATATCCCATCTCTGAATAGTTTAATGTTAGCCTCTTTCAATGCAACATATTTTTGGTAAAGACATATTCACTATATTTAATATGATCTCTCTTTAACAGGAAGTTCAGCTGAGCACACTGTCCCCAGAAAGTACACTGCGACTGTAAAGCAACAGAATTTCATAGCAGTAAATCTATTGCACTTTGTGAAGAATAAAATTCTCCTTTGCCTTTCTAGCTCCAGAAGGCAAAGCATCTCGTTGGTTAAGCAAGTTCTTCTTCCTCCAGGCAAAGTCTCTTAATGTTCAGACAGACAACGCCTAACTTTGTTTGTTTGCTTTTTATTATTACTTGAAACAACAATTGGAAGAGTTTGAGAGAAAAATCTTTCCAGTAGCTGCTGAGAAGTCTCCAAGTTTTCAGTCTAGAAATGAATTTTAGGTGCTATCCAATCACGGTCAACAAATAAATGTACTTATTTCCACATTTCATGAATATGTCCACAAAAGAGCAAGATGAGGTCTCTCTTTGACCAGCACTAACACTGTGTGATCAGGTATTACAGGGATGCACTTTATATGTGACAACAGTATACAGACAGGATGGAAATAACACCAATATTATTGCACATGGTGTCTGGGCGAGCATTAAAAACACTGCAATATGTGATGAAAATTCTTTACAGCTTGTTTTCTCTCAGCCCTTTTTCTAGAGTTTGATGTAGCAGCAATATCAATCGACGTACATTGGAGAGCTGGGAGTTGCTGGCATTTGATCCAGGATTTTACAAACATAGCATGCAACATCCACTGTGCGTTCCTCATACATCAGGATGAAGGGATGTTTCTGCAATCAGACAAAAAAACAACACGGTTACCTTCTCCTTTCTGACACATGCTGGGTACCCCAGATAAAAACTCAGAGTATGGGTTTGTCTGATGCAAGGACACAGGGCTTGGTGGTGGCTGTAGGACAACAGGACAGAGCCTGTTCTGTGGCTTTTACTCTCAGCGAATCCGTATCTTAACTGTGCAGAATGGAGGCGGGACAGGACTCCAGGAGTGTCAGGAATGGCTGGGCAGGAGGCAGTGAGGGTGCAGAATTAACAGCACCTGGCTGCTTTGTAGCATGGACATGTACCAAAATACCTTCAAGAGGTAGGTTTCATCATCAGCCTTGTCAGCAGTGGGGAGACAGGAGTTAGGGAGACATGGCCTGCGGAGGTTGAACAGATCAGGACCCCAACCCAGTTCTCCTGAACGCTGACCCTCTGCTCTGCCCAGGAGGCCATGCTGGCTAGACCTAACTCAGAGAAGCTGGAAAGCAACAACACGGTGACTCTCTGGGAGAGCACACCAGGCAAACTCCTTTCATACCACACCAGCACCATCAGGGCCCCAGGGCATGGTTTCACACATCCCCTGAAGAGGTGGCTTCCAGATGCCCAGAGCTCCTTGAACGTGCATGGTTGCCTGGTGTGACTTACCCAACCCAAAAGCATGCCTGCATTCCCTCCTTTAGGACCCCCCACCACAGGCAGGCTCTGCTGGTGCCTTACTCCAGAGCCATGCTCTTTCAGGTCTCACTTTTGCCTGAACACTCCCACCCTCGTTGTGCAATGGAGGCATTTACACGTGACAGTGCTGGCCAGCAATTCGACAGGGCTCCTGCACGGTGCCAGGACCTCAAGCAAAGGCAGCATTTACACGGCAAACCCAGCTTGCTTTTGCCCAAGCTTGCCCACTTTCAGGGACCACCAATCCGCTGCAACAGGGCATCTCCCCCCACGCTGATCTCCTGTGTTTATGTACAGACATTAACAACCTTGGCCATCAACATGACGGCAGGCCAGAGACAGCAACACGGAGGTGGTGCTCATCCTCAGGCTGTGGAGCTGACCACCCTGCCTCGATGGCCTGAGAAGACACGGGAGCGGTCTCGGACGTGTGACCCAGCCCTGCTGCGCGGCCGGCAGAGCTGCGATGGCCGGCGCCGACAGCCACGCTTTGCACTCACCAGAAGCTCTTTGTACTTTGGCCTTTTGGACTCGTCCTTTGTAAGGCTAAAGAAAGCAGAAAGAGAATTAGGAGAAGGTGGGATTGCAGAAATTTAGTTACAGACTTCAAGCGCAAATGTTTACAGGACACGATGTTGAATCCCCAGCTGTCGCAGTGGGACTTGCTGCCTTTTGTTTTCTGGAAAAATCGTGCTTGTGCTGAGTGACCACAGGGACTCCCTCCCTCACGGGTGACCAGCACGTGTGGCCACCAACAAATCCTGCTGCGGACAGAGTCGAAGGGAGCTGCAAGCGGAACGCCATCCCGACTGCTGCCTTCCTAGGGGAAGGGGCTGGACTGCAGCATCAGCACAAGATTTGGGCAGCAGCAACCGGGCTGTCCTCCATGTGTCAGGCAGTGGGGCTCAGGGGCAGAGCCAGCGCTGCCTGCCAGGGCACAGACAGGGGACACCGGCTCCATCGCCCTGGCAGGCGCGGGCAGGGGCTGCAGCAGACAGCCAAACCGCCCTGCGGGGACAGGTCCGGGCTCCCGGGCCCCCCCAGCTCATCCCCGGCACTGGTGGCACATCCAGCACTGAGCAGACCACAGGGATGGCAGGCGGCAGCCAAGGCCACCAAAGCCCCTGCAGCAGGGGGACATGGCAGGGGACAGGAGGGATGGGGACCAGAGGGGCTGCAGGATGGGGCTGGGGGATGGCAGTGCTGGCAGCCCCTGCACCACTGGGAAGAGAAAGGGGGGACGCAGCATCTTTCCCAAACAAGGGGAGTTAAATCTGATTCCCAACTTCCATCCCTACGGGCTCTGGCTGGAACCTTCTCAAGCTCCAGCACTACTACAGCGTGGCCTCAAGTTACTCGGAGAAGCAGCGGGTAACTAACGCTGCATGCCTGGAGCTGCTCTGCCCTGTGACCTGAGCTGCGTGGGGCTGAGAGGACAGGGAATCCCACAGCTGCTGCACAAACATCCTCGCTTCAGCCTCCTGCTACCCAACAGCAATTCCTTTTCTGACCTCAGCGAGTCCGGGGTTCAAACATGCTCCTCGCAATGCCTTTAAGGCAAGTAGTCAGAACGTCAGCTCACAGGCTGAGTTCTGCTCTGAAATTTTCTATGCATGCTTTCATAACGAGAAATCTTTCGTTTCTTTTCCAGCTCGACGTGAAGCTCTGCGTGTCTGGAGTGGCCATTTGTAGCACCAGGTGCCATAGAGCTCCTTCGCAGGAACATCTGATCTCCTCTCCAGGAACATCTGCTCTCCTCCCCAGGCACGCCGGACCTCAGGAGCTGGTGGCTCTGCCTGTGAGCACAGCTAGCTTCTGCAGCTGCCAGCACGAGGCTCCCAAAAGCCAGGCACCGAGCTTGGACACTTTGCAAACTCTGGAGCAGAAACCTGAATTGCTGTCAGCAGTGCCAGGAGGAGTGTGACTTCAGATAAGCACCAAAACAGGGAGGTGGGCTGAAGGGGAAAAATGTTCCACCCAGGCATTCACAGCGCTGTTGGGATCCAAAGCAAAAAGCAAATTGCAAAAAAAAAAAAAAAATTCCAGAAATTTTTTAACATTTTCAAAAATATCCCTTCCTCACAGACCTGTCACGGCGAGCACAAAAATAGAAGATGATTCACATTCGTAGGGTAATGCCCAGGAGACCCATGCCATCACCTAAATGCACAGACTCACCTGACTGCTTAGTAACACCAACCATGACTGTCTGCACTTAACCAAAGGTTATTAAGAGAAATATTTATTACAGTGTTGCCATGAAGAGATCATAGATATTCCAGGCAGAAGTCAGATTATTTACAAAACCAGATTAAATAAAAACAAGAATTAGACTGAAAACTGCCCCACGCTCTATGCATTGTGGCTGTTCCAGAGCAACAGGACCTGAAACGGGTGAATGGGCTGGAAATCCGAATTGACCCAACCAGACCCATGGGCCAAAGACGCTGCAGTTCAGCAGAGATGCCACGCAGGCTCCTCTGTTGGCTGATCTCGAGCCAAACCCACCAGCGCACACAGGGCAGGAGGGCAAACTCCTGGCTTTGCAAACTCTGTAATGACTTGGCACCTCTATGGAGAACGCTGTGGGAAACAAACTATTGCTTGTACTGTACAAGGGGAAAGCAACTTTGACTTTCTAACCAAATACTACACTGTTTTTGACTGGAAATTTTTGGGGAGCAGCAAGCCATTTTGCTGCTCTGTTTTCTGCAGCCCAAAGACAATAACGAGGCGTTCCTCACAGCCAGCAGCAAAGCGCAACCTGGCCTCCACAAAAATTCATAATTCTCAGACAGTAAAATCCAAACCCCAAAAAACATCTCCAGCAGATGGAAAACCCCGAAACAAAACCTCTTGAAAGTTAAAATTGTCTAGAGCTGAGTCTTCCAGTGTCACAGAGCTTTGAGATGGACACCCCTGTGCTGGGGACGTCAACCACCTGGGTTTGCCCAGGGCAGAAGGTCCCAGAAGAAAAATGTAGGTCATACTGATGGATCTCCTGTGCACTTTGGTATTAGGTTAACAAAATTATGTTGACCACCTTTCACATTTTGGTAGAAAAATACTTCATCATCAGAAAATTCACCAGCCTTTAACGTAAGCAGGACCACACACGCATGGGCAGGCAGATGGCCTGTCCCGAGCCCCTCCTGCACAAACACTGCACACTCTCCATCCAAGGCTGACTGTGCTGCAGAGGCCCTGCCCTACAGAAAACCATCTCTAGTCTTGATCTTGACGTAAGATTGACACAAGACTTGAAGCCACCAACCAAGCAACCCACCCACTACAGGTCCTGACAGTCACTGTGCTGAGCAGAACCGGGTGGGAAGGCTCCTGGCCCCGCCAGGCAAAAGGCAGGACCAGTACAGGTCCTCCGCCCAACGATGAGACAATACTGTCAGAGGTCTTGGGTTTCTGCCTGCAGAAGAAAAGGCAAACAGCAGGTCTGTCCCAAGGCCGTGTCATACCAAGGAACAGGATGCACAGGCCAGGCCCTTACCTGGTCACGCCAACCTCTTTGTCTTATCACGCCTCTCCTGAGCAGACTCTCAGAGGTTTTCTCCTCATCCCTTTCCTAAAGAGCAGTTTGCAACGGTCTGCCCTTCAGCCCCCACCCAGACAAGTCTCCCATCACCTCCAAACCAGGGAAATGCAAAAGGCCCTGACATTGGTGCAGGAATGTGGCACTAAGCTGGGAAGTGCCTGGCATGCAACTTTTGCCAAATACTTGGCAACAACGAAACAAGCCAACCCCGAGTGCTTTCAGTAGGAAACACTTACCACAAGTTGACGAAGTTGATGAAACTTGGGGAGAACTCCCTTTCCTCTGAGTTACTCAGCTGTGGTGGGTCTCCTTTTACTACTTGTGTCAACTGGTCAAACACGCTGTTCCACTTGGGGTAGGGGAATCGCCCTGTGGCCAGCTCATACTGCAGAGAGACAGCAACAGCACCAGGCAGGTTACAAGAGAAGTTCAATCAGTGTAAGAAAATGTCTGCAAGGACCCTGAAACCCCCAAAAGGAAGACTAAGAAGAGATTCTTCATCCCATTCCCTATATGAAGCTCACCTGAGAGGAGGGAAAGTTTTACCCAATAGCAAGTTCTGCTGCCTACGTTAGCAGCACCTCCAGATTTAACCTGGCTATGCCATGTTTTCATGTTCACAATGTCTTCTCCTCCACTGACTATAAAATGAACTGATGCTCTAAGGTGTACAAAAATAGAAGAGTAAATTTCTCCAGTCTCTTCCCAAACATCCTAACAGCCACTAGAGAAAATGGATGATGAGAATCACACAATCAGAGAATATCTCAAGTTGGAAGGGACCCATAAGTATTGAGTTCATCTCCCTGCTCCTTGCAGGACAATGAAAATCAGCATTTTAAAACGCCGGTGGGGAAGACAGAAGCTACTGGTTCATACTTACTGCTTCTGCTTTCTCTTCTACTTCACCACATTCAGAAGGGAAGATCTTTCCCATTTATCAATAACACAGCAGTGCTAGGGTTAACCCAGAGAGGACTCAGCAACCAGGATCGAAGATTAACTGAAGTCTTCTGCACAGCCGAAGTACAACCAGATGCCAGGGCTGTGAGAGGCTTATTTACACAGGCTGGATGTGCTGTTCTGCACCACCACACTCACCAACCCTTCTCATCCGAGATTTTGAAGACAAAATTAATTTATGACCCAAAGCCTCTTCTCTGCTCACATCTCTTTCTCTGCAAAACATCGCTGCAGCTAAATGTATCCTCAGGGGTTCAGGAGAGCCATCTGCCTTGAAGGGACTTGCACTGTTTCTGAGAAAGGAGGTGCCCACCTCAATCACAACATGCAAATGCTTCACAGCAGCGGAGCTGGGCTTCGCTTCAAGCGCATGTTTGGCACCAACCAGCTCCATCCCACTGCAGAGCACACCATGGCTACCCACCAGGAAAGTACCGCACAGCAGAGCACTTCAAACCCCACTCACTTACCAATGTAATACCCAAGCTCCAGACATCTGAGCGGACATCGTAGCCTTGCCTGGATGCGCTGGGATCTATCCTCTCAGGCTGAAACAAGAAGGACCAGTCAAACACTGTGCCATGCAGGAAGGAATGAGAAGCATCTACAAACTTAGAAAAAACTAAAGTTTGTCCTGCCAGGCAGAGCCTGGCCCAGTTCTAGATGCAAACTTATTGCTAGGGTAGACATTAGGGTAGACATCCAACTCCAGCAGAGAAACATCTTAAGCAATCATTTTATGGAGGTATAATGTAAACGGTGACCTGAAATGGCAATTCTGCACAGTCCAATCCTTTCTTTTTTTCCCCCTTTTGTACAAGCAGCTTGAATAATTGTTACTGTCTATTTAAGAAGTCCTGTTTAACTTTGGGATCTCTTTAACACAAATTTTTGCTTTCCCTGTTTTTACAGTGAAGTTGCCCCTAGGGAATCACAAGAACTGGAATAAACATCTTCTCATCCACCAGCCCAGCAAACCGAGGTTTAGCAGCGTCTGTCAGGACTCTTCTTCCCAAATGTCTGCTGGTTGCTAAACCTCAGGAGGTATTAAAAAAAATGCATTTTAAGAACAGCTCTTCTTTACAAGGTTTTGGGCACCATTTGAAGGCAACTATGATATTACAAGGTCTTCAGACATCCAAAAGGTTTTCCATAGAAAACAGTATCGAGCCAGACATGGGTGATTAGCACCTAAGAGCGAGTTATCCAGAGACGTGAACCAGCACAAAACACCGTTATGCTTTGCACGTCATCATTATGAGAAACCTCAATTCTGCCTTCTTTTGTTAAAAATGTAATAATTAAAATGTCAAAAGAAACAAGGTCTCAGAAACCTCAATTCTGCCTTCTTTTGTTAAAAATGTAATAATTAAAATGTCAAAAGAAACAAGGTCTCATTCAGCTTTGATTACAACAATAATAGAGAGACCTGAATTGCAATAAAATACTAAATGATGAGGTACAGGAAATATTGTGAAAGCCCTGGGTGCTTTGTAAGCCACATTTTAAAACAATTCCATGGCAGGTACCAGCTGAAGAGGGCCACGCAATGAACAAAGACCCTTAGTGCAACCTCAACCCTCCAGTGGACCACCGCATGAGACGACTACCACGTTCCCACAACACATCCCAGCCCCCAAACCCTCACGGCATTTCTGGTTGCTCTGGTGTGCTGCCAGCTCTCCTCTTTGCAGCCCACCACTTACATGTGGCTGCCTCAACTGCGACTGCTTCCAGACCTCTCCCATTCCCTCAGTCACCAGGATCTTCTCCAACAAGGAAATGTGCCCAGGCCACCACCCATGCATACGCACACTGAGAAGGAAGAAGTAGCTTCCACCAAGCTTCAGTGGCTCTACACGTGGCTTCTCCTACAACCTTCTTGCGTTCCCTACTCCTCAGTACACAGTATATTGCCTTCCCAGTGCCGCCGATGTGTGTTAGCATCGTTACTCCCAGTTACAGTATCTGCTTTGAAACAGGCTGGCTTCAAAGCCCATGGCCTGAACACGCTGCCTTTCCCACCCTCCCAGCTCTGCCCTTTGCTTTGCTTTCTCATCCTTCGGTTACAGTTCCCATTCGTCTTAAGCTCTTAAGCAAGCTCTCTCAAATATATCCAGGGGTATATATGGCTTATAAGACAGACATGGAAAGAGTTTTTACCAGTGCCTGTAGTGACAGGACAAGGGGCGATGGTTTTAAACTAGAAGAGGGTAGACTTAGACTGAACATTATGAAGAAATGCTTTACTATGAGGGTGGTAAGGACCTGGAACAGGTTGCCCAGAGAAGCTGTGGATGCCCCCTCCCTGGAAGCAATCAAGATGAAGCTGGATGGGGCTTCAAGCAACCTGGTCTAGCGAGTATCAGGGGGAGCTGGACTAGATGATCTTTGCAGGTCTCTTCCAACCCAAACCATTCTGAAGTTTTATGGTTCTATCAATGCTACCCGTGCTGCAGGCCACTGTGGACCCCTGCCCCACAGCAAGGCAGCTCTCCGGGGCCATGGCTGCTATTCATGCTGGCGCGTACCTTCCCACCATGAAAATCAGAGTCACTCCACAGGAACAAGGACCACCCTGTGACAAAAGACTGTCTCTTCAGTCCCACGCACACGCCGTCCATGTGACGGATGCTGGTGTGGTGGGGAGCACAGCCCTGCATGCTGCTGGGGATACACCACGTCTGGAGATGCCACCAGGGACCAGCCACCACAGGGCTGCACAAAATTATGGGGATGCTGGCCTTGCCAGTGCTGGGACTCCCACGCCACAGATCCATAGGGATGTGCCACAGCAGAGTAGAGCAGTTCACAGACTGCAGAAGAAGGACTTGCTTTCCTCACACCACAGTGAATTACGTGGACTGCGTGGAGAGCAGGTATTTTGGGCAGGGCTTGAAGTACTAAAAGGCTGTGTGTTACGGTGACTGGTGAGGTGGCACTGGCAAGACAGAGCTTCTCATCTGAAGCACCCATGGACGGGCAGGCTGCTACCCCAACGGAGCAGAGCACAGACAGAGCAACAGGGACTTGGCCCTAAACCGTGGTGACACAGTTAAAGGGAAAGCAGGATGGACCAAAATAAATCCTGTCTAAATACAGAGCAGAAAGAATCCTAGGAATTTTCCATGTAGATGACATGGGAGCAATTAACATCAAAGAAGGAAGAGGCAGCATGCCACACTCTGGGGACCTGGAACAAGGGCTGCAGACAAAGCCCGTCTCGTGCCGGGTGTCCTTCTAATGGCAAGTGAAGCGAGGAAAGGAAGTGGCTGAGATGGAGACCCACCACTGGCTGTGCTGACAGTGTGAAGAGGCAGGGTATGAATGCATCAAACGAGGGTGCAGGCTGCCATGGGACTTCTCTGCATTTCAGTGTCCACCTAAGCACCAGCATCTTGACTGAAAACCGAGCAGAGGTGGGCAGCACCGATCCTCCCTCTCCCCAGGTAGGCAAACACACGCAACTCAGGGCGTGACAGAAGGACAGACAGATGCACGCACGATTCCCTGCGGTCCTCAGCCATCCCACGTTGCTGAAGAGTTACGTAGCATTTCTGTGAAAACCCAATTCCTGAAGCTCAGATATGGATTTTCACTGGTTATATAATCAGCGAATTTTATCCCACATGCACTGCAAATTCAAAACTGCCTACATGGCACTACAACGTACATAACAAGCTCTTCTGTGCTTCTTAGGCCAACGCACCCCTAAGCTAAAAGAAAATAAAAGGTTGCCAGGAGTGAAGAACGACCAGGAGGAGCTAAATTTTTGCAGTACAAAAAGCAGAACAAAATCTATACGATACAAACTCTACCTTGGCTCCAACCACAGGAACAAACGGATGCCAGATGGAAGCTGCTCCGCTCTTCTCACCCTAAAAAACACGTGAAATGGATTCCAGGGACCTCGCTGGCTTTGGCTGATGGCAGAAGCAAGGTAAAGCACTGCACATCTGGAAGCAGGGCTGTGCGGGCTGCAGCTGCAGCATCATCTGTGCCAAACTCAGCTGCAAACCACACAGTGAGCTCTGAACCAGGGCAGCCAGAGTCAGGAGACCTTCACTGCTCTGACACAAACTGGATACGAGCCTCGCACCCAGGAGCCGCGGCTCCCTAGCACGCTCTTCTGCTGCGGCGTTAACGGAAATACAACATGTGTGTTTGTTTAGGGATGCTCAAGATAAAAACACCATCTCCCCCGTGGTGGTGACCCCTTTACCGTGGGTATCTCGTTTGGATGTGCTCACAGAGAGAAGCATCTGTCACTGTCCGAGCGACTCGGCTCTCGGGGCCACCTCCAAACCAAAGCCACGGCAAGGAGGGGAGCTCTGAACAGCTGCCTGCAGGGCTGTGCAACAGCAATGGAAACCATCTTCAGGGCCATAAAGAACGAGTTTGGGCAATTCTTCTGCTGTTCAGTAAAGGCAAATGTTGTCACTCACTCCTCGCATTGCTGTATTTCTCAAGAATATTCCTATGGTGAAAAGCAAGTTGTTCTTCCTTCAGGGCTCTCCCCTGCGCAGGCCTCTCACACACTCAACCGGAGCACGGAGCGATGGCCAGCGTCAGTGTCACAGCAGGGCCCAGGCTGGGATGCAAGCGATGGGCACAAAGCAGGGCAGGCGAGAGGGCCCTGACTCACTGGGCTCTCAGACCTGCTTCTCTTGTTTCCTCCGGAGCGCGGGGATGCTGTGTGTGGCTCCCTCTCATCTGCTCGCTGAGACCTCCAAACATTTTACTCCTGCGAGCCCCTTCTCCGACTTCTCTGGAGGGCTGGGCTGGCAGTTCAGACCCTGTAAGGCTGAGAAAGAGCCCGACCACTCACCTCCCCAGGAGATGCTCACCACCAGCCCGGCAGACACGACCACAATCGCCTAGAAAAGCAGCAGTCCTGCTCTGTGAGGTGACTGTCTTTGGGGGGACTCGCCGTGCTGGTTCTCGAGCAGACCTCAGTACCAAAGATGCAGCCCTACAGTAGGTGCTAGACCTCCAAACAGATGTGAATATCCATCCACTCCTCCTGGCTGGTGTTACTGCTCTGCTCTACAGAACTTTTTGGAGGCTCTCCCTTGGATAACAGCAATCTCCCTTCGGTGTAACCAAATTCTTCTACTGGCTGCTAAAGAGGTGAGGTGTCTGATTTCATGTGGATCTCAATTTTTATGTGCAGTGAAGCCTAATAAGCTTTCTGGCTCTCCTCCTGGGCACGTAGGAGCTCACAGAAGGTGACCTCCATGCTGCAAAAGCCTGGGGCTAAGAGCACAGATGTGAGTCATTCACACCAGCGAAGCATCACAGTCACACTGTGCTGGGTAAAGTCTTTTCTAAGGTTATACCCCTCCTCTCCAGTACTAGGTGACCGATGAAAAAGCTATTAAGGCTTCATATTCTCTCGGCCAATCACTATAGGGGTCATGCAGCATCCTACACAGCAGCCTACCCTGGCTGCAGGAGGAGACACGGCTCCTCGGCCAGGGTGTGACACAGCAGAACAAAGGACACACAGCGTGACGGGTGGAAGAGCTGACAGGGAAGCAGAGAACAT